TGACAGTTAAAGATTACTTTCCCAAACGATTTGCAAGTACCTCACATCAAACCTATGCTTTCTTCAAGGGCTGAGGCTGGTCTTCGTTCTTCTGGGTATTCTAATAGCAGTAAAGCCTCAAGAGGCAGATAACCTTTCTTTACAAGGTAAGGTCTTTCACTTTAGAAACGCTTTTTAAAATAGAGTTGGAATGTCTGTAGAGGTCTGCCTGTGTCCGCATTTTTTGTAAAAATGCTTTTCCCCCCCATCATTTAAGAACAAGCTGCAGGAACAAATGTGTTTTGATTGCCTCTATGTGATCAACTCACTGCAGCAGGAAAAAACACGATCATTTAAGGATAATTTGCTAATGTTTGAACCAATGCAGAAATTCAGTCTGCATTTCCTTTCTTGATGGACACTCAGAAGTCTGCCAAATATCCCTAAGGCAGTATTTCTGAACCTTGCTGGCTCTAAGACCCGTGGATTTCATCTCTCAGTTGTGTGGTTTAGTAACTTAGAATTCAAGTTATGGACCAAGTTAGCGAAGCTATATTCTCATTAGTTTGTTTTTGTGGGATTTGATTAAAGTGTCTCCTTCAACAAAACCCAAACCAAGTGTCTCTTTTAGACATTGCAAAGAAACTGGAAACCCGATTCCTTCTGCAGAATGTGGAAGAAGCCAAGAAATTAGTAGATGCTGCCTATGAATATACCCAGAACTGGTAAGATTTGCACAAAAGTTCCAGAAGCCAGGTTTATTTTGCCCTTTTCCCATCTACTCTATTTGATGAAGATTTGCTGCGCTGTTTACTAGATGACTTCTCCGTGTGAAAGTTCAGACAAAAATTCAGGCAATGTGCCATTTTGTTCCATTTAGAAAACATGGCTATTTCCGCCAGTTAAAAACTGATTTAAGTATTCCAGCTATTCCTGTTTTTATTCCGTATCTTTACTGTGCATGTTTTGCTACAGCTTTTGTATTGTGGATATTTTTATTGTTCATTGCGATTGTGAATCCCATGGTATCACATTGATTTGGCAGCACACAGCTGGAATAAAAATACCAACAGGCATGCCTGCCCCTCATTAGAGGCACAGAATCCTTGCATAATCAAATCCATTTTAGGCAATAGGAAGAAATCAAAGGGCGAATGATGACATGAAGAAATGTAAAGTATTAGATTAGGATTATGAAGCCCTCGTAGTTCATCCCTAGATTTCATTAGATAACATCAGGCAGTCTCTGCCTCTCAAGTTAGCATCTCTGGCTGGGTCATTGTAACACACACCTTATGGGAGGAAAAGCTTTTATTCTGCAGTCTTGATATAGGTATTTTCTGATTCACCAGGTTAGAAGAAAAACTAAGGAAAGAGACAGTACGCCCTTCAGATATCCTAGTGTCTTTCAAACAACCTGTAGGAAAAACTCGGTCGCATGTGAAAGCTGCTCATTATAGGCTGGTGGCCTTGGACCTCTTGAAAGAGAAGCTGCAGGATGTATTTCCTCAGGAATTCAATATCACAGGTATTTTGCATTTTTGAACTAATACACTAACCAAAAGTAAAGGTAAAATTTTCCTTGTCAGTTGTGTCCAACTCCAGGGCACGGTGCTCATCTT